GAGAAGAAAATGCTCACTACATTGAAGGACTGACTCGAAAAGGTCAAAAACGTGCAACATCTGATTGCTGGTGGTTTTCAAATGGGCAACCTCGTGCTTGACGTACTGCGGGTACATTTGGTGCTCACGATAGTAGTCAAAGATGAGCTGAAGTGCCTGTCGAGACACGTCAACCATATCGTACACAAATGTCTCAGACTTGTTGACAATGGCTGGGTTAGCCTCCAAATACCCTGCCATCAATTTGAGCGCATCAGTCAGGTTGGCTGGCTGGTACCACAATGGACTGTGATAGCTGATCTTTGGCCTTTTATTGATGGCATACTGTCCGTGGTTGTGCACTCCAATTGGATCAGTGTACACGCTCACTCGAAGCAGTTGCCAAGCTTTGTCCAGTCGCGCGTCGTACAGTCCATACCGACGAACGGAGTAGTTAGTGAACCACTTGGCCATATCCGGTGTGGAACTGTGCCACGTCGTGTCCATCATGTACTCATAAGCTACGGGGTTCTGTTCAATGCCCTCGGGCGTCAGTCCAATTCCAAGCAGGTTAGAGTACTTCTTGCGATCCGTGTACAATTCAGCGTTGATTCGGTTGATAGAGCCGTACATTCCTAAAGTTCCGCCAAAATTGTGAAGCATGCAAAAAATAAACGGTTGCCCGTAGTAGCCTTCGAAATGAGAATAGATTGGCTTGACATCACTGAAAAGATCGAGAATAAGGAGCTTTCCAATAGGCACTGACTGCACCATTGCCTTCACTTGCGGTTGCTTCCAAAAACCGGGTTGATTAACAAAAAGCCACCCCTGCATTACCCAAATGCCATTTGGATCAGCCTTGACAATGCTGTCGTAAACACCTTTTCCCGCTGAGTGCAAGTACTGAGGATCTGAGTGACTGGGCGTTTCCTCATTGAAAAGATCAATGTTGTAGAAATGATCAGTGCCAAAAAGTTTAATGTACTGCAAAAAAGTAATTAATTAAAAACAAACAAAATCAAAGCATACTTGCCTCTTGAATGAATAGTTCGTTGATTTTACTAAAGTTTGGGTCTTCAGGCTGCAAAAAGTATGTGTGGCTGTAGTTTGTGCCAAAACTACCCCAGTCGGGTAAACGATCAATCTTTGCTTTTGGCAAATTGATCACTAAATCTCTAGGAACATGACCCGCAAAACCTGGCACCACAGGGTACATGCCAAAGTCACGCATTCGAGCGAGAATTTGTTTTTGCAGTTTTTCCTGCTGCTCATGCCAGTGTTCGGACAACGGGCCAGACCAAGTTTGCATGTTGCCCATTCGGTTCCATGCAAGGAAAGCAGGTCCGCTAAAGTAGTTATCAGCTTGCGCCTTTGTCATGTTAAAGTGATTTATGAAAACTTGACGGAAAACGCTTTCTTGGCCATTGAATGCCAGTGGCAAGTTGATACCACGCAGTGCCATCCAATCCAGTTCCCGCTCCCACCTGGCCCAACTCCACCAGACCATAGAGTAAGACACTGTGCACACATTTTGGTAGTACCGAAATCTTTGGATAACATTAGTTTTAGAGTTGAACACATTTTTACCAACTACAATCGCTTACTTGTCTTGAATGACAACTTCAATAGCTTTAGCGGGCATCGGCAAGGAATCTAGAGGCAGGGTGTGTAGTTGGTCTCCAGACCAGGAAGTGGAGCAGTTGGCAATGTTTTTGAGGTAGTAATACAGGCCATTGGCAGCAGCGACACCAGTGTTGGCGGTTATTTTAATGCCATTCTTTGCAGGAACTCCTTCAATCTGTATAGAAAATGAGAATTTAAATTGTCGAAAAAATAACAAAACGACATGCCTTGAATTTATCAAGATGGTTATGAGTAAAGTGCTCATCAATGAGAAATTCAATAAGGTGCGACTGCTTAGGAAGCAAACGAGAGATCAATCCTCGAACAGCTTGGCCCTGCTGAGGAACTGTTGCTTTAGGCTTGAGAGTCAACAGGTGGTCTAGTGTTCCGCATTGTGCCTGAGCTACCAATAAAGCCACCAAACAAATGGTCAAAATTGAGAATTGTGTCAGTTTTCTGCGCGAATCCATGACTTGATGCGGCAAAAAGGTCTAAATAAAAAAGCGGATACAAATCGGATTGCATTTTATACATTATTAGTCTGTCAACTATCAAATTGGCAGGTAAAATCGAGATCACAATCCGATTGGCGCCACTATGGCTGATTCATTAAAGTGGAGATGACTTTTAATTAGATATAATTGATTTGTTTGTTAATTAAGGTAAACTAGATAGATATTTATTGACACCCATGCCTTTAATGAACAGTAAACTGAGTTAAAAGTTTCTCAAAGTGATAACTGATATCAATGGTAATGTTTGTCTAATTGGCCACTGATAATCATCTGCAAGTAGGTACTACCCCCGGGGAGCACTCACTATCTTGTCTTTGCTTACTGAGTGGAACAGTGCGTTGCCGGCACTGGCACTACTGCATTTATTTTCCTGTCACTGTCAGCGGTGTTGCCATGTAGCAACGGTGGGACACAACAGCAGCCGCAGCTGCAGAAGCAGCAAACGGTTTGCCAGGATAGCGGCGATGCAATGAGAGTAGTAGTCGTTGGCGACAGTCAGTGCGCCTAGTCAGTGGTTGTCGACTCTACAGCCAACTGCTGACTGAAGCGATCGCCAATTTGAGGTGATTGCATGTTTGTATGCATGTATGTACGCAGGCAGTTGGACGTCGGTGAGAGAGCAGCACTCTGTGTTGGTGCAGGGCGTGTGCTGCTGCAACTGCAGCTTTTGCTTTCCATATCTGTATGATCAACCACAGACATCCTGTCAGATGAGCGACACTGAGTTGGGGCAGAATCGAATAGCCACCCGCTAATGAGCTAAACGACACATGAGCTGGCAATAAACATAAAAAACCTGCCTTGGATGAGCCGCAAAATGTCTTGTTGAACCCGTTGCCAGCCAAAGTTTTACCGTTCAGACGTACGATCGTCNTTGTGTTGGTGCAGGGCGTGTGCTGCTGCAACTGCAGCTTTTGCTTTCCATATCTGTATGATCAACCACAGACATCCTGTCAGATGACACTGAGTTGGGGCAGAATCGAATAGCCACCCGCTAATGAGCTAAGCGACACATGAGCTGGCAATAAACATAAAAAACCTGCCTTGGATGAGCCGCAAAATGTCCTGTTGAACCCGTTGCCAGCCAAAGTTTTACCGTTCAGACGTACGATCGTCTCCGTTGCACCGTTGCATAAGTAAAAGAAAGAGAAAGACAATCTCCCTTTCTCTTCTGCTCTTTTCACTTACAGCTGTGGTCAGTAGAAGTCTTGCAAGACTGCCGCAAAGAAGTAAACACTTTGACTTGAAGTGAAAGACGCAACTGCTCCTTACTTGGCAATCAACAGGCAACACTCACTGGCACTGTCACTTGACTATCAGCTCCATCACCACCGTCAACATGCCCTCGCTGTATCATTCCACACTGGAAAGTCGTCAAAAAATTGGCAACATTTCCAAGCTTACCTTTCGAACCAAATTCAATGGTCCAATTCGAACAGTAGAAGATGAGCACCGTAAGTTGTTATGTCAATTTAATAAACTTTGAACTAATAAACGTCTTCAACTGTAGTACGCAAAGAAGATCCAGTGGGAGCAGACATCATCGATGAGGCGTTGTACTTTTTCAAATCTAACATTTTCTTCTCTAGCTATGAAATTAAAGTAAGTTTTTGTGTGCCTGCCTGCTATCACTCTAATGTTTGTTTTCTTCTAGAGCGAGGCAGATCGAAATATAATCTACTTGACGTTGTACATTATCGAGTGTCTCAAAGTGATTGGCAATGTAAGGGATAGATGCCAGTTTGGGTGGAAACTAAATGTCGATCTAATCACAATCTGTTGTTCATTGAATAGGCCTCTAGTCGAAATGCCGCAACGCAGGAGCTGTTTCAGCTTGGCCTCTCTAAGTTTGCCATTCCCGGAGACTCGGCATTTCCGCTAAACAACCTGTACTCAAAACCAGCCAGCAGCAAAGAGGCCGATGAGATGCGAAGCTACTTGACACAGCTCAGACAAGAGTGCGGTCTGCGTGTTCTGGAGCAAGCCTGGCCAACTGGCGACAAGACACCCTCAAAGTGGTGGTGCTGCTTTGCAAAACGAAAGTTCCTCAACATTAGCCTGGCAGAACGATAAACTATTGTTGTGCANACGCAGGAGCTGTTTCAGCTTGGCCTCTCTAAGTTTGCCATTCCCGGAGACTCGGCATTTCCGCTAAACAACCTGTACTCAAAACCAGCCAGCAGCAAAGAGGCCGATGAGATGCGAAGCTACTTGACACAGCTCAGACAAGAGTGCGGTCTGCGTGTTCTGGAGCAAGCCTGGCCAACTGGCGACAAGACACCCTCAAAGTGGTGGTGCTGCTTTGCAAAACGAAAGTTCCTCAACATTAGCCTGGCAGAACGATAAACTATTGTTGTGCAAAATCATTTGTTTTTGTTTTTGTTTTATGACTAAACAATCATTCTTGACTTAAGGAGTTATCTCAGTTCCAGTCAACAGTTTTTCTGGATTAAAACTGTAATAAATGCCTCAGGAGTTACTGCTAGTTGTGTTGCAGGTTCGTTAGTAGTAACTCAAAATTGTTTGAGCTGTTTTAGTAGTTTTAATCTTTGTTAATAGACACTTCTATATTTTTGTTGACAAAAGACGTGTTGAAATTTCCTAAAGTACTCAAATTTAATGGTGTCATGATGACATTGCTTTAATTTTCTACATTCTGCTAGAAGTATGATGATTCAATTTGAACAACAAAGTTTTGCTAGCAGTGAAACTGTGTGTACAATGGACACAAAATGTAATCACTATTTTTCTCTTTTTATCACAATTTTTTGCTATTACTGCATCCCCTCGGTTGCTTAGACGCACATGACAGTGCTTTGATAGTGTCCTATCTAAAAAGACTATTTTTTGTCCCCTCATCGAAACTGGTTCTCAACGTGTCCAACGTTTTTGGGCCTAATTATGGTTTAGATTACAAACTTTTGTCATTTAAGTTTATGAACACATTACCAGATAAAGGTTAAATGACCAATTTTGTTTACTCACTGGATCAAATTGTATTTGAACAGTTAATTTTTACCTTCAAAATCAATTCAATTTCATTGACACTCGCCTGATGCAATGCTCAACAACTCTTTAACAAAGTGTTTATAAA